GCTGCGGTGGTTAAAACCCTCCGAAGCAAACAGAGGGTGGGGAAGGGCGGCCGGCCGGGCCGGCTCACGGCCCCTCTGACCAGGACGGGTGGGCTCCCCAGCAGGAGCCTGTGCTCGCCAGCCCCGCTCACCCCCCCCCCGCTAACGCCAGGGGCCAGAGGAGCCGAGCTGGAGAACTGGAAAAGGAGGAATGCTGAAGCCCTTCTGGAGCACAGATTCAGGCCAGATTAAAGCAACGGTCCCAGCACGAGCTCGGCAGGGTTTGGAAAGCGTTTCTTCCTCCTGGTGGTCCGGCTCTCCCGGGCAGCACCCAGCACCAAGCACCTGCGTCCACACATGGTGCAGAGGCCTCTTGGGGCAGGCCGGGGCGGCTAATCCAGATCCGCAAACACGGAGCACTGGGTGGGAACAGCACATTCTCCTGAGGAAGAAATCCTGAGTTTAAACCTGAGCTCTAGTCTACCTCAAGCAACAACCGTGCTGCAGATCATTCCAGCTATACCCAGGGCAGCCCAAGGCAGGAGATAACCTCTCAGCCTCTCACCAAAGTTTTAGGTGTTGGAATGGGCTGCCCAGGGCAGCGGGGGAGTCCCTATCCCTGGAGGGGTTGAAGAGTCGGGCTGACCCAGCGCTGAGGGATCTGGTGGAGCTGGGAACAGTCAGGGTGAGGTTCATGGTTGGACTGGAGGAGCTTCAGGGTCTTTTCCAACCCAGGTGATTCTGTGATTTTGCAAAAGTGCCCAGCAGCCATCTTCACTGCCTCTAAAACCAGGAGCCCTGGGGAGAACTGAGAGAGAAAAAGGGCGAAACTGTGCTGTCCCAGTTCAGCAGCTCCCAAGCTTGACACGCCCCTGGCTCTTCACTTGGGCCTACACCTGCACAGCTCTTGTTCTCAAGTAACAACCACAAACACTTGTGTCACTTCACATTTCAACCACTTATCTGAGGATAAACAGCATCTCCTTCAAATTCTCCTCTGCTCCTGCATGGAGAACTTCCTCAGACCTGCCTCAACCACATCTTGGCTCTTTCTCCCCAAAATAGGTAAGGTCTCTCCTAACATCAATGAGTCCAGCACCTGGAGACACCTCAGCTAGCTGTAGAACAGCGACTCCATTCCCCATAGCCAGTACAGAGATGGAGGATTTACTCTCTTTCTTTTGAGTGGGAACCGTTTAAAAAGGAGAGGTGGACTTCCCACTATGCATTCTGCTGTCTCAGAGCTCATCTTCTGCCCCTCAAAGCTGGAGCAAAGAAAGTCCCAGCATGCTTCTTACATCTTCCCAAAGAAACCACTCACTGAAGCCAAGCACTACACACTGCCATAAGTATTTCTTAGTCCCAACAAAGGATTGGTGAGCCTTCAGGACTACTGCTGTAAATATCCTTCAAAGAACACTATTAAAAAAAATACAATTCACACACATACACAAAAAACAGCCTTAGGTTTCTTGTACATGTAATACAGGGAAGGAGAACTCTGCCTACAGCTTGTAAGCAGCTGGAAATGTGAGTAAAGGATGCTCTCAACCACAGTGCAGTTTCTCAGAGAAAACTTCACAGTTTTCCTCCCTCTCTTTCACACGTAGCACATTTTAGTTTAGGCAGCCACCAAGGAGAGGTTGCTTGGTTTCCTTCAAGAATCTAAGTGCAAGAAAATTGGGTGCTGCAGGCCAGATGATGGGAGTATTTCAGGAAAGACAGCCCAGCTTTCTCTAGGGGAAGCTGTCTGCTGCTGTGGAACCTGGGAAAACATGTCGTGGTCAAAGCTAAGTTTGAATAAAAGCCTGCACAATCCCTCTTTGCTCAGCAGTAGTCCCAAACACACAGCCCTTCAAGAACAAACTACATCCTAGTTTGGTGGCAGATACCATCCAGAACAACTAGTCTAGTTGAGGATGTGGATTCAAACACAGGTTCTGCTTTCATACACATTTGTAACCTACGAGTGTCATAGCCTGAATCATCAGGGCAGTCTTCCAAAGTATTCTCACCATTTCCTGGTTTACCTGGTATAACAGACAGATTCTTTCATAATTTCACAGTAAAGAAACAGCTCATCCTACTGCAGGACAGGGCTGCAGGATATATGTTCAGTCTTAGTGATTAACAGGTAACAAAACTACAATGATAGATAACTTGCTCTGCTTTTGAAGCTGATGACACTCAACCTAGGCTAACTCAGATGCGGAATCCCCACCAGGCTAGTACTATAGCAATGACCTTCCATAAACCAAAACTTCCACACTGTTGGATGAGACAGGGAGTCTAAACAATCTTAGATTGATGGTGCAAGGCCTGCGCAAAAACCAGGGGAGGCGTATGGGACTGTTTGAAAAAGACATACCAAATACTGATAACATTGCTAGGCGATTAACTCCTAGCCCAAAGAGAAGTCCCCCCTAGTCTTTGAAGAACAGACTACCCCAAAACACTGGCCTGGAAGAAAGCCAGAGAACAACTGAGGCTGCGCAGAGCGACAGGGTGAAAAGTTCATCAGCGAGGAAGAAGAGGTACTTCATCTTTACGACCCCTCCCCAGGAGATTGCGACCCCAGCCCGGAGCTTGGAGAGCTCATTGCGCAGGCACAAGAGGAGGAGACCTGATTACCATGAGAAGCGAGGGGAGGCGGGGGTAGACTATGTGTATGTATAGGCGTTTTATGAATATGCACTATTTTGTAACATATAAGCTGGACGGGAGCTGCAGATGGCGCGCATGCTTGTGGTGGAGCGATCCCCCATGCGCCCAGCGCTGAATGAACATACCCACTTTATAACTCCAAAAGTTATAGAGTGATTTCTCCGCAAATCATTGGAAAACAAAAGGAAAATCCCAGAAAGGAAGTAAGAGTCCAGACAGGCTATGCAAGTCAAAGCAGATTATTTATTTATGAAACAAAGTGATGACCACTTGTAGTGCAATTTATCTCTGTTTTGAAATGAACTATCAGCTCCAGTCTCTCAAAGCAACTGTGCTTTGCTATCATGTGCCTGCTCTACAGTCCCCAGAGCACATAATACACACTAAAGACTCTTGAGGACAAGGACGCACCTCTTTGGAGTTCTACAGATAGTTATTTCTTCATTTTGTAACTTCTGTGACACAAAGAAATCACCTTTATTTCAATAATTCCAGTTGCTGGATTTTGAAAGTCACATTAATGTGACTCATCAATCCCACACCCAATTAATTAATGATTAATCTTCATTAATCCCCCCATAAATAAGCAAGGTGCAGTGTTCTTACACTACAACAATGGCTCCAAGCAATAGGCCATCACAGAAGCAATAATAGAAAAATGTGATTAGAAAGAAGATTCCACAAGTATGGTCACTGAAATTTAAAAATAAACCTCTATGTACAAAAATACACTGGCACTTTATGAAGGCACAACAGGAACTACCTCAGGCATCCAACCAAGACTTTGGTACCAACCAGGACAGAAGAGTCCCTATTCCCAAGGCAGCTTGATAGAAGGAAAAAAAAAAAATAAAATCAAGGAATATATGATAAGTACTATTACAGTAAGCATGACTGCAATGCTTCTCCTGCTGAGCCCCGCACTGAAGCGGTGCCGTGTGAGCAGCTCAGGGCACATGCCCACTCCAATACTGAGCAGCAGATGGGCCGTGCCAAGCAATGATGCATGGCATGATGTGTTGCTGTTTCAAGGTAGAAAACCAACAAGGTCTAGTTTTCTGTGACAAAAACTGCCAGCAGTTGTGGGTTTTTTCCATATTTACATTTTTTAGGAACAGGAAAGATCAAAGATACAGAGCACAAGCAGGTAAGAGAACTAGTGTGAATGGTACAATCTCAAGGCACTGAGCACCCCACAGCGTGCAAGGGAGCGTGGGTGCAGACAGCTATCTGCACCCCAGTGATGCAAGTGGCCAGGGTCAGGCTGCAGTCTACATCATCTTTATTTCTGGTGGTTTCACAGGTGGCCATCCCTGCCATTTATAGTACGACACCAGCTGCTTCGGCACTTCAGCCAGAACCATCTGGGAAAGTGCTTCCCGGGGAGCCTGCAAAGAGAACAGGGAGAATAAATCAGAAATACTGCAGAGAAAGGATTTATCAGCCCAGGGACAAACTCTCTTCCAGAATACAGAGCGCAGCCCCACACCTGCCACATCTTATGCTGTTTCAGGAGTTCCTTGCTGTGGTTTTGGGAGAATTTCCAGTCAGTCTCAGTGAACACTGCTGATGAAGAGCACTGCTCCCACCACCTTTATATGGCCCTGGTCTGGAGGAGAAATTGCCCCAGCCACTAGCAATTTCTGGTTTGGGTTTTCATTTGACTCCACTCTTCAACCCAGTTCACTGTGGAATGTGAATGAATGCTCCTGCCCACAATGGAAGCAGGGAGGAGCTAGGGAATGACAGGACTGCTTTCAATGGCAGGGAAGACTTTCTCAGCTTAAATCACTGACAGGACTTAACATCAGAGACTGGCAATATGATTTCAATTTCTTTCCTAAATGTTTGCATCCCAGGAGAGAAAACATGTCCTTTACTCCTTTAACTGCAACAGCCAAGAGACAGTATGCAAAGTCAGTGATACAAGAGATCTTTAAGAAAAGCTGCAAGAGAGCTGCAACAAGGTACATGGTTTCAAACACAGGAGCAAACACCTCAACTCCCACTGGAAACAAGCATCTTGATTGCACTGTGAGCATGCAGCTTGTTGCCTTGTCTAGACCCATGCTCATTTTTCAGATGTAATAGTGCATATATACTGGCACCAGGACTCTTCTGAAGTTAAAGACAACTCACATTTTTGAACTGCCGGAAAGGCACAAACTGGACAATGTCTCGTGCAGCTGGCTCTCCTGTCAGGGACTTCAGGACACCATTGTCTCCATCAAGGAACTCCATCGCTTTGAAATCAGCTTCACCGACTCCAACAATAATGACGGACATTGGCAGCTTAGAGGCATTAACAATCGCTTGCCTAGTTTGGTCTAGATCAGTGATCTCTCCATCTGTGATGATCAGCAAGATAAAATATTGCTGAAAAACATTAGAAAGCACCCAGTTAGGGAGTTCAACATCAATGTTCACATAACTGAAGGCAAACAGAACAATTTCTTACTCTAAGAAAGAAATCCAAGCACTGTGGATGAAACAAAACCAGAACACGAAAGAAACATGTTTATTCACATTTTTTCATATGCAACACCTTTCATTGTGCACTTCAGATTTCTTCTGTATTAATGATAAGAGGTTTAAATTAAATTTCTAAAGAACAATTACATCAATTGGCATAAGGTACTGGAGATGAGGAAAGTACTACTAAATCAACAAAGCTGCATACAAAATTCACTGATGGATGCTGCTTTACTTACCGACATCTGAAAAAGGGCAAAGTTTCATATTTAATATCCCTGAAGTGTCTTTTTAAGTTACCAATAATTTAAATTGTAAGTATTAGAAATCTCAAAACACAGCAATGACAAATGTCATGACACAAAGATGCTCTAGAGATAACAAGAGAGGAAGAATACAGGAGCTTTTCTACAAAGAAGAGAAATACTTCTAAGTGGTAAAGTGTTTAAAATTTCCTTCTTTTGCCTGAGGCTAAGGTTTAGTACCTGGTTCTGAAATGAGCAATCACTGTTTTATAGCAGCTATCTACATACTTAAAATGAAAATAAAAAATGAGACACACATAAAAGAAAAATAAATTTCCAATTCCAAAACCCAGTTAACACAAGTGTTAGTATGGCTGTACCCCATTACTGAGAGATTCTTTATTAAAACAGTTTTTCATCTGTAAGAAAAAGTAGAGATATTTAACATATAAAGGAAATAAGAAGATTCCCCCAAGTGTTGGGAAGGCTAAAAAAATACTCTCAGAAATGTAAGAAATGGATCTCCTAGACTGAGCACCTTACAGTGTGGGAAGTGTTTGACATACACACAAGGAGAAGTAGAACCAAAAATACTCAACACAGCTAAACCATAAAGCAAGTATCAGTGTGTACATCAAAATTCCTTCTGACTGGTCTGTCCAAATGGAATCAGTTAAGTCTATCAGGAAATATGAGTCCTTCATCCTTAAGCAAAAGAAATTAAGTTTAAAGAAATGGGAGTTGAATTTTAACAGCAGCCACAGCCATGCAAGCAGAGAAATGAGACATGCAACACCACTGTAGAGTGGTATGGATGCTCTGCAAGGCAATTAGCACACCAATTTAACAGTGCTCAGGCTCCTTCATTAATTTGGCCCTCTAGATATCTTGATTCTGCATCCCACTGTGGTGGGATGGATGGGGAGACCTCTGATATTTTCTTGGAGGTGGTCTTTGTGCATATTTTTGAGAGCAAAGTTGTTTGAAATACATATGGCCCCTCTATACAGTATGCATTCCCTACAGGTGATGGAGCTTGGCAGGAGAGGTTAGAGTGAGGCAACTGCTGACAGAGTGCAACTGGTCTAAAAGCCAACACAGCACCCCTGTATACTTCAAGAGTAAGTACAATGCCAGCTAACTGCAAAACAGAGAAATAAGTATCACTTGAGCAATGGAAACTAATGTCTACCAAGTACAGGTTCATATTAACATGTACCAAGAGAGAACCAATGGCCTCTCTGTAGGCTGGGAAAAGAAGACCAAAGGTGGCATCCTAAGGAAGGAAGACAACATCACTTTACCATTCCATCCCATCCCATCCCATCATTAACATGGAAAACAAACATCAATGCAACACCGATCCACAGGAAAGGACATGCACTTACTGAAGCAGTTCCTTGCTGTGCCGAGTGTGCTGCAAACCTCGCCACATGGTTTATAATAGGAGAGAAATTGGTTGGCCCGTAGAGTCGGATCTGAGGCAGGATCTGGCGGTAGGCATCCACTATGCCTTGGATCCCTGTAACACAAGGAAAGCAAGCTGCCACAAGAGCCTCACAACTTCTCCAAGTAATTATTTTATAAGCATTACTAAACAGTACAGCAAAAGGATAACAACTCTCACACAGCTGTCAACTAAAGCACAGATCAGCAGCAGGGTAACAGCAAATATACAAAGCACAGGGCTGAAACCTGTGGACATCTGCAGAGATAGGATTTGCAGATTTCTCCCTCATCTGACATCCTTCACATCACTCTCTGTGCCTCTAACATCACAAAGCTCATGGAAGTTGTGGGAAAAATAATCTGGTGACGACACACTGATGAGTACGTTTACCTTGTCCTTTCTATACCTTGTCATCCAATTTGTCTTGTTTAATTGCTTAATTAAGTCTAATTAGACAATAAGCCCAGTAGCTCTCTGGAACAGTAACTTTTCATTTTCCTTGTGTGAAAGTTAGACAATGATTCTGGATTCAGGATTTAAACATTTCTGTAACAGAAATAGAAATCCCTAAGGTTTTTCCTATGCAAGAAGTTTTTCTGAGGTTAAACTAAATTTTTTTTAAAGTGATTTTAAATGGTTCATATTATTCTATGGATCCATCTAAATTGGCCTGTTCCTGGCTTTTATCTACGTAGCTTCATTTGCCACTGCTGTCTGCAGAGTCTACCATGCAGGTTTTAGTGCAGTGCCTCTCAAAACTACTGCACAGGGATCCTAAAAACAAAAGACACAGATCCCAGTGAAGCAGACAATGCTGAAATGACTGAGAAAATGCTTGCATTTTAACACTGAATCTCAGATTCCATTTTTCACTGGCCTTAGATCAGCAAGAAAACACGAACCAAGTTAAAAATGCTTGTTCAAGAACAATTCTGTATCATTGCATGCTGCAAGAGGTCTTGGTCCTAAAAAGGTTGTAATCCAGTTTAGAGAGCAGCCCTTAAAAACAGCTGAAACAACCTCCACTAAAGAAGGTGGATATAAAGAAAACAAGCTTTTAAGGCAACCCTGTAAAAGATAACATAGACACATTGCTGGCAAAGTAACCATGGTCTCTAACAGCCTGAGCAGACTGTTGTGCTGGAAGCACAACTAGCACGGGAATATTGTGGACCTGAATCCACTGCCACCTCTAACACCCACACAAACAATCACATTAAATCTAGACCCCTTCACTGGAGCTTATGTAGACTGCACAGGAGTCTGCATCAGCACACATCCACTCTTGTCAGCACCCAGGTCAGAGTGAATCTAGTTTGCTGCATGTCTTGGTGCTGCATCTGTTTTTCACCACTTATGAAAGAAATAAAACACTTCAAACATCTGTCTCAGTGAAACGTTAATAAAGAGGTGTCCTCACCTTGACAGTAAGGGTTGCTGGGGTTGAAGTTCAAAGCAAACTCATGAGATACCTAGGAAAGGGGACACTACAAACAGTTAGGGAATGCAGACATGGACAGAACAACTGCCCAGCGCTGTGAAGACCCTACCTGCCAGCTAGGAGGAACTTGAGCTCCAAACCCAAATGCAGGAAACAACTTGTCCCTGGAGAGAAAGTGTGATAGGTGGTAAACCGTCTGTTCATCAAATTCAGCAAACTGTAATATCAACTACTGCATATTGTGTAATAACTAACAGCAAATGCCTAATTGCACTAGCATAATAGTGTAAAAAGAAAAAAAAAAGGGTGACAGGAAGGAGCGGGGGGGAACAACAAGAGAGGAAGCATCTGTACATCAGAAGATGTGGAGAATTGCAGGCACATAATTGAATAAAACAGGAGGATGTTCACGACCATGAATCTCATTATGCAAAGAGATTACTGGGCCTAGACTCATAAGAACACTGCAAACTCAGAGGATCATCACATTCCAAGCGAAAGGTGAAACGTACACTGTGAGGAGGACCTTCCTCCCAGAAGACCACCCCCCACGATTTGAAGACCCCTGACCGTAGATTTAACAACTTCTGCGCAAGCGTAAAGGACTGATAAGCTAATTACCATACGAAGCGGGAGTAGGCGGGTTCAAGTAACGAATATGTATATGTGTATAATGACTATGTAATACTTTGTAGTATAAGAATGAAACAGAGTGCCCTGGAGGGTGTGGGCCGTTGTTGGAGCAGGAGACTCCCCAGCCGCCCAGCGCTGTTTTGCTTGTTGCCGCTTGCTAAATAAAAAAAATTGGGAACTCTGACTCAGCCAATTTTAAGAAATCAGTTTATAACAGAAAGGGCAACAAGAAATGAGAAAAACCAATTTTTAATAACTCACTATTCTGTTTTATTCCCAGAAAGCCATGGAGACCAAGGTTCAATTCCTGCCGTAAGGAATGGGTACACCATCTAGCTCCCCATGGCCAGTCATTGGTTACCCAAGGGTTTCAGGCTTGGGCTTGACAGTTTCAGAATTTCTTTCAGTATAGCACTCCACAAGATTCTCAGGAGATTTCAAAGTAGCAAGAGAAATGCCAACCCAACCACAGCCTGGCTAAAGGGCAGAGGAGACAAACGTATTTCTACTGAATTAAACAGGGCATTCATGTTTGAAATGCACCGTCACAAAGGGTTAGTGACCAGCTAAAGCAGCATTACAGAGGCCATCAAAGGGCAGACCAGGAGTGACAAACCAAGCAAATATGCCAAATCACGAAGGGCTGCCACTGCCCTTCCTGGCAGTGACAGAAGCAGAAGGAAGCAGTAGCAGCTCCTGAAGGGATCTCCCAAGGAAAGGCAGCTCCTCAGTCATTCACACACTACAGCTCTGGAACAAGCTACCAGCCCTGATCACTGACACCCACTGCAACATATTTTGATGGCTACATCAGTTAAGATCATTACATACGTGTCATAATCCTGGACTACACTTCCCACACTCCAGATGGCAATCAGGTACTCATTTATCCCATCTGGGCTGATGTAGTGAAGAGAATCTGGTGACTTGGGATCTCCATTGGAGCCAGTGAAGTCTACACCCACCTAATCAGTCAAGATGATGACAGCAAGTCACTGATGCGTCACCATAGGCAAATTAGAACTAACCATACTTAGAAACAGAGGGTTAGACCAGGTACACAGCTCCCTCCCTCCCAGGCACACACAGCTCCCTCCCTCCCAGGCACACACAGCTCCCTCCCTCCCAGGCACACAGGCAGTCCTACATACAAAAGGGCAAAGAAGCCTACATACCATACCCTTCCCCACTGGAGTACATGCCTGTTAAAGAAGTAGTAATCCTTTCCACTGACAGACTGAACTGATTTCTCAAAAGAAGTTTAAGAAACCCTAGTTCCATTACAGTTGCTACTTGATCACACAAAGTAAAAATACAGCATTGTTTGTTTTTTTGCAGTCTTCATCACTGCAAATTCACACTGCATTTGCAGTCATTCACACCACAAATAAAACTACTAATCACTTCATTGCTTTTGTCCTGTCACCCTACCAAAATGCCAGTGAGGAAACAACTCACAGTAAAGTTAATCTGGCAGCCTCCCATGACATAGTCCAGAAACGAATATTCTGTCTCAATCTAGAGGAACAGACAGACAGGGTTACACTTACTCCTCCCAAGAACAATTTCATTATGAACAGAAAATATAAAAGCCAAAACCCAGCAAAAATCTTCCTACCTTGCATGATTTTATCCTAATAATGCCAGAGTTTTTGTAGCTCTTTTTCTTTTGTTTTTTCTCAGGATGAATGCATTCAAATTCCACCTACAGAAAGCAAACATGCAAGAAGCAAGCTCCAAGATATCTGCATTTACAGCAGGACAAATCACTGAAACAGAACAGTGTCATGCATCACAAAATTTCCAAGCTACCCAAACACCTGGCAGAATTCTGAAACTTAACTTTTAAAAGGCTTGCAACTACTTTAGCTGCTGCTGAGGTAAACTCTATGCTTTTGCTACAAGCACAAGGCAAAACACAAGGAAAGACCTCAGAAAAGTCTGTCTCTTCAACATAACTGTATGCAATCATGGAACAGTGACACTGTATCAGAGAGAGAAAAAGTCTATCACAAAACCCAAGAATTTTTCTTAACATCATCAGGTTCTTTTTCAGTTAAAGGAAGAAAATGCACTCAAACAGAAGACAATGAGACAAAATCTCAGGGGGGGGGGGGAACATAAAAGCCTAGGTTGCAGGTTACCAATAGCAGTGTTTCACTGTTTTGTTTCACTTGCATCAGTTCTGATTTCACACGGCCTAGGGAAAAATGCAAGAATCTTTCACCAGTTTTAGGATTACAACCACAGAAATCAAGCTGGCTGGCAACTGGAAGCAGTCATAGACTAAATCCTGTGTGCAGGTACATCTGTCTGAATTCAGGTAAGACATCTCCCTGAGAACAGGAGTTCCGGTTTTCAACACAGACAACAGAGAGAAACTGGCACCACCAGCAAATGATTCAACTTATTCTAAACTGGATGCCAAAGACACGGGAAAAAGCGTGCCCCATAGAAGCACTGCTTCTCTCCATTAGCTAGAAAGGTGACCAGAGTGCTCATGAGACCAGCTCAAGCACAAATGCTATCTGAGACAATCCCTACCTCTGGACCCATCTGTTGAAGCATGAACAAGCCCTTTTATCTCCACTTGACTCAGCAGAGGCAAAAGCAAGCTGAACTGCTGGAAAAAGTGGCTAGCAGCCAGCAGACAAAGGGCTCAAGGATGTCTTTAGGAATAGGAATGGTAACAGTACCCAAGGAAAACAGAGCAATAATTCCCACACCAGGTGTTTTCTTTCTGTATGTTGTCTTAGTAATATAAAGATACAGACAGAAAAATTGGAGGCAATAACTAAAAATGTATCTCTGAGGTCAATATTAAAAAGGGCTTGTGAAAGACTGAATTATGGACTAAAGGGACTGAGAAAGCTCACCGGAGAGCCGTCACCTGCTTTCTGCAGCTGAGACAGGTTCGTTTCAAAAGTGCCTATCAGGTCATGCGACCCATCGCTGTCATGATCTGCACACTCCACCTGCAAGAGAGGAGAGCAAGCCTTGGGCAGGCATACAGCCCTGCGGAGAGCGGCACCTGCTCGCCGCGAGGTCTCCTGTTTCCAACAGCTCTGCAGCAGTGCTAGTGAACTCCCCGATCACATATGAACTGCTGGTGTCATCCATATTACTAAGTGAAACCTGAGAGTAAGAGACACCCGGAGTGAATCTCAGAAAACAGATGATGTTCAACTGCCCACCCGTTTAACTATGCGCAGCAAAAGTTTTAATTAAAAGCTTTCCTCAGTATAAACATAAGAGATTAAAAACCACAAAATAAAACTGTGCAGGTTTAAGCCCTGCCGGAATCGGAAAGCACCCTCCCCCACCCGCGCCGGTCGGGCTGGAAGTTAAACACAGACCCCGGCTGAAATAACAAGAAATTTAATACAACAGAGTGATAGAACAATCTGAATAACAACAGTATCAATGGTAACAACAATAAACAGCAATAACAGTGAACAAGACAAACGATATACAGAGAAATACCGCTAGCTGGTCTACGGAAAAGCCAAATTACCTCCCGAACCCACCAAGGAGCAAGGAAAAGGGTTCCACCCCTGGACAGGACATCAGCATGGTATGAATAACCTGGCTGGAGATCCCTTCCCCCTCTCTCTTTGCTGGGGAAAACTTTATCCTAGCTGAACCAGGACAACAACAAAAACCCACACAAAACATCCCAACATTTTACAGCCCAGATGTATAAATGCAAGATCATTCAGGACAAGATACACAACGGGGGACAATTAAAAGTTTGTTATCTAAGAACTTTCTGAATATACTCTTTTCTTCTGCTCAGCAATAGCATTGATTCACAAAGAAACTCCAGTTTCCACAGAGCACTAAATCTTTTTCTGCATCTTATACCAATCAAATTATAACTCCTATAATTAATAACCAGTTACGTTTAAATCGCATGAAAGCTTCACAACTAGATAATGCAAAAGAGCAATGCATTTAAAAATAAAAGTATGCTAATAACCAGGCTTAGAGAGAACACAGTAAGACACACATTGTGAACAGCACAAAAGCAACTATGAGGGGCATTTATAGCATGCACAATACACACGACTGCAGAACACAAGTAATTCCAGAAGCAGTCAATCAAGAAAGTTAGGGAACAGCTGCTTCCTCCCCATTGAGGTTCACATGCTACACAGATTACAATGCTCTGAGATCTGCCTCTAGTAACCAAGAAATGGGTGTTACTCCAGTATAAACCACAGTCACTGCTTTCTCCTCAGGATCAAGAGAGAAGATGAACCCATGAGTAACTCCTCAATAAGGATGTCAAATTCAATAGCTAGCTATTGGAATTTGAGATAGGGTTCTTCTAGGATGACCCTGATCCACCAGGGATCTTCCACTGGTATCAGTGGGACACCTGTACAACAAGTGAGTGAATCATGGCCTCATCCAGTCACCTAAATGGGAAGCACCGTGTCATCCTTCAGACACTTCATGAGAAAACAGCATCACCTCAGAAACTCTGCCCGCCCTTCTCCCCCTTAGTCCTTCCCAAACCACCACCTTTCCTCTCCTTTCTTCTGCGTGTTCCACCATGAAGCAACTCCCACACTCCTGCCTGAACTTCACTCTGCCTCTCTCAACAATTTTGATGTTTAAACATCACCCAAAGGCAACTGGGTTATGCCAGAGAGGCCAAAGCAGCAGGCTCTCATGCAGAAGCCAGGGTGTGGACTCCCAGTGCAGGGTCTCCTTCGTGTTAATACACCTGGAGAGCTCCAGAGAATTCAGCAGCTGCCACCTTCATGCACCCCCTCTCACCTCCTACTTGCTCCTGCTCCCACTCTCAGCCACATCAATAAAACTGTAATTAGGAGCAGTTTCACTATTAGTTTGCAGCATGATACCACTTAAATCAAACCTCTTCTCACAAGCATTTTCTAAAACTGGCCAAGATTCCCTGTACACAGCCCACAGCAAAGTGCTACTGCAAACAAAATCCTGCTAGCAATACTGCAGAACACTGTATATAGTTATTTACTGATGAATTACTTCTTCACAGATGAACTATCCAATATTCATTATAAGCCTTGGAATAGAGTCAGTGGGTGAAAGGCCCCTTTCATCTAGAGGAGGAACTTTCAAAAGTCACAGAAAATACATTTGCCTTTATGTATATGCCATCAAACATGTGGACTGGCAGCTTTAGTCCCAAAACCAACACCCACAAATTTCACATCTGTCATTTTCTTTTAAATAACGATGGGGAAGAGATGCTACTTTCATTTGCCCCTATTTTTAATGAAACTGTCGGGAAGGTTAGGCTGTGTTGCAAATCTGAGCTGTACTTAACAAAGAACAGGGAGAACACCATTCTGCATCACAACAGATGCAGAATGAAAGCATTAGAAAACGCAAAGTATTGCCAAAATATTAGGTAGCATCATTAATTTGATCAAAAGATTTATGTTCACACACATATTCAGTACATAATCTTCACACATAGCTGGCAAAGTAGATGTTTAGGGGACACATCAAAATGGCTGCCTCCACTGTGCTGAAGTACAAGGAGTTCTCCCTTTAATGACTATGGTTATTTTACACAAAATTGTTCCTATGTAAATTTTTGGAAGCCTCAAGCAAGAGGTTCAGAGCAGCAGATACCAGACGAAAAATGAAACCCCAGTACAATATTATATTATTTAGTGTCGACAGTGAAACTCCTGCTTGTCAGCCTGGATTCTCTTTTCTAACTTCCCTAACCTGTTAAGTACAAGAATAGGATAATCCTTTTTCACAGCTGCATTGTGAAACTTTAATAGATTATTTGCACATTCATCAATAATTTTGTCTGAAACAAATTAACAGCAAAAAAAAAAAAATCTATCCTTTTTAAGAAGCAGGTCATTTCAAAGTGAATTCCAAAGCACAGAAAGCTTCTGGAAAACAAACATACAAAACCCCCCAAAACAAAACACACCCCAAAACCCATTAAAAAAATAAAACAAAAAAATCAAACAACCAACCAAAGAAAACCCCAAAACAAACAAAAAAGAAAAAACAGAATTCTTTTGGACTATAACAAACACAGCCTCACATTACAGAATGTTTAAACCATGCCTTCTCATGTCATTTTTGACAAAAAATAATACGCATCTTCTTTCCAGACTTGCTGCTCACTTTTGGACCAAGAGGACTTCTTTCTGACCTAAGACTGACAATTCTCCAACAATAAGCTCATGAACACCACTTACAACATTGCCACGTATCAACAAGCCCAGCATACCTGAACATCTATTTTCAGGTTAATGATCTCAGTAATGCTTTGGTCCTGCCATGCTGCACAAATAAAAACATGAGCATGCATGCTTTTTGCTAAACCTTTCAGATCAAACCTCCAGCATGAGATTTCTTCATAGACAGGACGAGGCAAGAAAATTCTGCAAATGGAAAGTGTTCAGGAGTTGGATAAGCAGAGGAAGACTATACTCACATAGAACTATGGATTTAAATGCCTTCACATTATCCACATATTGCTTAGAAAATAAATTTGTTAATTTCTGTTCTAACAGGTTTCCTTCTGTAGAAACTTATTAAAAGATGTAATTATTCTGCTACCACCTCCAAAAGCGAGGACCAGCAAGAATTAGTCATCATATACAAGACCACAAGGAGTTGCAGTTCTGACTCAAAAACCAAGTTTCTAGTTGGAACAAATTGAAAGAGAGTCAGGACAAACCTGCCAGTCTCATGAATGGATGAATCCAACAGATGCATTAAGGTCCTCTCTTTATCAGTATCCTAAGGCTTGTATAACATGTATGAGCTTCTCAGTTAATTTAGAAACAGTGCTAGAAAGCCATAATTTAAAAAACAAATGAACAAAACCAAAAAAAAGCCCCCACCAAAACCAAAACTGAAACCCTGGCTAGAATAGTAAAAAAATCCATTATTATTCTTCTTATGACTAATTATTAGAAAGTGTGTCACTTCTGCATTTCCTGACTTCTCAGTTTGACAACTCGTAATGTTTTAATACAGACTTCCTACTTGGTAGACATATAATCACTTATCTGTCACACTACTATTCTAAAAAGACAATCTAAATATTTAAATATGACTAGACAACCTGATAACTGATAGTTAACATCAACAGATTGGATTACTTATAACAACAAACAAGGAGAATTTCTGAATGCTGTACCTTGATAGGTTTATTAAAATCTCCACCACAGAACGTCTGCAAAGGAACACTGCACTTCCTCCAGCATGGATTTAAGTTGTTTTTAATCACCTTAAAAAAATTACAGCATAACATCATGTGAGGATTGCAGCATGCAAGTCACTGAGAAACATTAACATGAGGGTTCTGCATGGTTATCTAAGAACAGCCTCAGTCAGTTCAACCCTGACATGCATGGACAACCAAGCAAAAGATCTCTAAGAAATAAAAGCTTGAATTTCAGGGTAAATTTTAGAGCCAAGACAACCTAACAGCTCATCACTACTGAAAGGGAGGCGACTCCTGCCGCTCTTCTCACTTGGTACGTGGTTGGACTCTTCACTGAGACAGCTTAATACTGTCACCATGCAGCAAATAAACAATTTTCTGCCAGATCAGTGAGCAGAATCCCTTTTTTACGATACAACTTTCATTGCAGAACTGGTGCAAAGCACGACCAGGAGTGGGACTGCCACTTTCGGTAGGAGTAAGCTGTCACATCAACTCCAGAAAAACATCAGCATAGAAATATTACCTCTGATCTGTACACCAGCTGCCACATTCCAGCACCACTCTGCTTGTAAAACTCAAAAAATGGATCTGATTTACCTAAGAAATCCTGCAAACAAAAACCCAACAGAAGTAATCAGCCTCTGATATTTTATTCAGAAGAGAGAAGAGCTGGCTAATCAGTACACAGTACTTCAAACAAAGCACAAAGTCAAACAAACTAGACATTTGTTTTCCTTTCATTTTACTTTTCTCTTTTAAACTGCTGTGCTTGCTAAGCCACCAGAATTTACCAGCTCCAAGACCACCTTCTCAGACCACTTCTGTTACTAAAAATCACGTCATTCTGCTGACTGAGCAGTGAGTGCACTAAATTCCTGGATTGGTTTTGGCTTAAAATAACACCGAGGCAGCACATCTAAATTTCCACTTTTTCTTCCTTAGTATCATTTTAGAAAGCTTAATTCACAGCTACAATATTCACTGGAGACAATTATGTAACTGAACTATATTAATAAACAGAATATTCCAAAACCAAAATAATCCCCCAAAATCTAAACCTGGCCATTGAGTTTCTATGAATGAAATTTTGTCTCCAGTTCACTTCGCTGTAACAAAACACGGTGAGCCTTTTTTCATACACATATTACGTCCCTTAGTTAAATAACTGTAAATACAGAGATTCCTGGCCAAAACACACCAACTGTAAATATCACAGAAGCATGCAATATGATTTTAAAAAATCAATACCTTTTTGTCCAAGTTCCGAGCTTCGATTTCCAAGTACACAACCCTGGTATCTTTAATCTCCTCTGCTGAAATCTGTGCCACAGAAAAAAAAAAAAAATTAAACAAGAAACCCCACAGAGTTTTTTTACTCATACTTTGGCCATGAAAGAAACTGTAGTTAAAAATATATGTACTTCCTGTACACGTGTATAATTTGAAGATATTTCTGGTTTTCTGTCAGTATGTTACTTTGTCCCAGCCAACATATGAAAGAAAGGAAAACTGTTTTTTCGACACAAAAACCTTATTTACCGTGATGGTGCCCTTTCCTGCTGGCTTTCCCTGCTTCAATTCCAGCGGTCGGGTGAACACCAAGCTGGACACAACCTAAGGTTAAAAGATAGATAATGTTAAGTATCAAGTTAGAGAGCAAAGAGCTCTTCAGGATCAAACTCTCCTAAAAGATCTAAAAGGATTTAAATCTATTTCCAACAGTAACAGCCATGAGAGTTTGTGCTCCTCAACGGCTGAACGGTCTGAAAATTATCTTCTCTCACTATCCACAAACACTACCCCAGTCTCTAAGCTTAACTTTAGCCTCCTACTTTAGCTACCTCCGAGACACAAGAGGCATTTTCATCACAAGTAACCAAAAAGCTATTAAAAATTGGAAGACTAATTATCAAATCTTTATTTAATCACATGAACCCTATTTTTCTTCTCTGCCCTAGCTATATAAACCCCACCTCAGAAAATTAATAGAGATTCTCAGATAGCCTTATTTCCCCAAATTTGCTACCTCATGTTCACTTTGTGCAAAGGAAACTCCATTAGCGCTCTCCAAGGACCTTACAGACTGCTTTTAGTGCTACAGGAACCTCCTAAATTAAGCAATTGCAAATCATTGAATCACTGAGGAGTGATTGAAGGAGCTGGGAGTGTTTAGCTTGAGGAGAAGGCTGAAGGGAGACCTCATCACTCTCTGCAGCTCCTGACAGGACATTGCAGAGGGGTTGGTGCTGGTCTCTTCTCACAGGGGATTGGTGACAGAACAAGAGGGAACGGCTTTAAACTGCAACAGGGGAGGGTCAGACTGGACACGAGTTAAAAACGTTTCCCAGACAGAGTGGTCAGAGAGTGGAACAGGCTGCCCAGGGAGGGGGAGTCCCCATCCCGGGGGGTGTTTACAGGCCGTTTGGATGAGTTGTGGGGGATGTGGGGTAGGGGAGAACTTTGTAGAGTCGGGCTGAGGGTTGTACTCGATGATTCTGAGGGGCTTTTCCAACCGGAACGATTCTGTGAGTCTATAAAACCATGGGTACTTCTAACCTTCACTTGGTGACTGACACAGTGATTTATTCTACTTTCAACAGTAATGCAAACTAACCTGTTCAACAGGAAAACATTTCAAATTTGAACATTGAAGCCTGTGATAAAGCATCCTTCACTCTATTTTTCATAATAAACCCAATGCTTGCTGCTGCTTTGGAGATTACTCAGCACGCCTCTATGCATACCCGTCCCAGTGTGCACTCGATTCCTCCAAGGTAGTCATCATCACTTAAATCAAAGGACTTGTTATCGATATCATACACACCGAATTTCAGCTTCTGCACTTTCTCAAAGTAGTAATCCACAACCAGTTTCTTGCTGAATTCAGGGTTTTGGCAGTTCTTGATCCTCTCCGTGCGATCTAGCTACACACACAAACACAGAAGCAAAGCTGTTTATGGTGAATAAGCAGCATGCTTCCTTCCACACATCTTTTCATCTGCACCCCCGGGGTCCTGCACTGGTCAAACCCAGGCACCAGCCAGGCTGCACACCCCGGGCCGTGCTTTGTGCTTGGAGACAAACCAGGCGAGTGCCAGCAGGCTGACCGAGGCTCCCTAACAAGAGAAATGACCTCGGTTAATAAACACCACCGTACAAAAATTTCTGAAACTCAGGGGAAAAAAAGGCTGGTGAGACACTGTATTCTGGAGTGCGTGAATGAAGGACAGGCCACGCTGCAACGGGCAAACGAACCTCCCGGTGCAGTTCTACGCAAATGTACGAGCAATTAATGAAACCAAAATGTGTAAAACTCCAGAGTTTGAGTGTGGGGATGGGGGACTGACCGCAAATCCCAATCAAACGCACCCGCTAGGAAAACCGACTGGATGGGAACGGGGAGAGGCCGGGGCGTTCGCACGCGCCGGCAGAGCGGGGCCCGGCGGCCGCCCTTACCTCGGCCCAGCGGCCGGCGCCCACCTCCTGGAGCAGGACGCAGAGGGGGTCGGACCGGGAGCGCAGGTCCCTGTCGAGGAGGCTCCGGCAGGACACCGACAGCTCCACGCGGGTCACGCAGGCGGCCATCTGCGGGCAGAGCAGAGGGTCAGAGCGCCC